TAACATGGTACATGTCTAATAAATGATGAAGAAAAGCTACTAGTTCAGCTGTATAACGGCTCATTAAGGATTTGTACTGTCCTTTGCAGGCTTTGTCAGTCCTCATCGTGTGTCCTCAGCAGCCCTCCGCCCTTTCATAACGATCATCGATCGTACTGCTCCGAGATCGACCAAAAGGAGCCTTCGATGTGCTCCCTCGAGGGATGCATCTTGGGGTTTCACCTCATGCCCTGCTTCGGGCTTCTTCGAGGTTAGGCGTGGAGCGGTATAGTAGCCCCAAAGTTGAACTCCCCAATTTTGGCCGTATACAGTTTTTCCCCCCAAATTTGCATACCTTCAGGCTTTGTAGAATGTGCTTCGCGCTCAATAATATGCCCTGTGACTTTGAGATCAGTGTGTATATTGATAGGTGATTTTCCAAGGTACGCAGAACACCATACCACTTGTCATCACTCAAGACAGTGTAGCAACCTAGCATATTTTTTCAAGGTAGGGATCGATAGTGTTAAGACTTGATCCATGGGGATCTGTTGAACTACCTTCACCCTTTTGCCTCTTTTTGAACCACTTGTTAAATGTTAGTGGCATTTTTTTTAATGGATGTTGTAATGTTTATTCAAAAGGCCTTTGAAATACATATGATTTGGTTCATTTTAAGAAGCTTTCTTATACTCGAAATAATCATTATCACGCGAAGTATAGCGCGGCTAAATACCACGTTATGTGTATTGTCTTGTCGACCCGAAAAAGCTGCCGTTCTAGAAAAGCTGTCTTCTGGAAAAGCTTTATTGTACCGTAAAGAATCAATAGCACGTGAAGCATAGCGCGATTACATACCACATTATGTGTATTGTCTTGTCAACCTGAAAAAGTTGTCGTTCTGCAAAAGTTGTCTTCTGGAAAAGTTGTATTGTACCGTAAAGAATCATTAGCATGCGAAGCATACGCGGTTAAATACCACGTTATGTGTTTTTTCTTGCCTATAAAAGCCTAGCGTATTTTAGTTATTATCTGCGCTTAACCAAAACAAATAGCAAAACTTTTGCATAAATTTTTCATTTTTCTTGCATTAACAAATGTCTGGACGCAATGACCAACCAAGGTGCTATTGTGTCAAACGTGCAATTTTGAAGGCATGTTGGTCCGATGGTAATATTGGGCGCAGATACTGGATGTGTCAACAATTGTTTGGACGCAATGACGGAAATCATTGTATGTTTAAGGAATGGTATGATGAACCCATTAACTAGGAATACTACAAATCATGTTTGTAGTATGTTTGGTATATGAACGATGAATACCAACGCCAGATCTCTGAAATGCAACGAGAAATTGCGGCAATCCAGGAGAAACAAAAAGAGGCGAAATAAGAAAAAAATAAAAACATGTTTGTTTGTTTAAATTATGTTTTAAAATATAAGAACATGTTTGTTTGTTTAAATCATTAGTTGTACCGAATTTAAATTATGTTAAGTTGCAATGTTTGTTTTTCCCAGTTGTAGTATTAAAAGAATAAAGACGAGAAATAAAAATATAATGCGCATAATCTAAACCATAAATAAAGTTGCTATTATTTACTGATTGTCATATGTACATAAAATAGAATAAAAATCAATGTGTCCCACAACCTTTATGCTTTAAAGCAGCCGCTGGCCTCAGGCGCATCCCATCCCGCCCGGCTACACTATCAGGATCATCCTCATCACGTCGCCTCTTTATTGGAGGATGCGCTGCAACATGATCGTCAGTAAGGCTCGCAGGCTCGATAGAAGGGGACGTCGGTCCAGCAATGACCTACAAAATAATAAGATATTTTAGTATATGAAATATATATTAGTAATGTACGTGGTAGCTTCAAAAAAATTAAAATTTCTTACCATGGTCTTAGCGGGCTCCTGAATATAATCATCTGTCTCAGGTATGTCAGTGTCGCACAAAGTGGCCGCCTTAACGGGCGTGGATGATGGCTTCAAAAAAATTAGGCTTTAGATATTTTATGATTAATCAATGAAATAAATACAAATATAAATAATAGTAATAGAAACTAACCAAATCCTGTGAAAGATACTCAGCATCCCTCAGTGATGATCCATAACTCAGTCGGCGCCCAATATCCACATCTCGTACCGGACGATCATCAGGAACCGTCGACGCCTCTGGAGGGTTAGGAAATACGCATACAGTCATGTGAGGTAATGGCCATACCCGCGATCAACATATGGAGCTGATGGGGTCACATGCAAAGTCCTTAGAGTAAGCCACAGACTAAGTGACGGCATATCACTAGGAGCATGGTGTGGCTCAGGGTGGTCACCCGACCAATCAACTCCAACATCCTCAACAGGTGCCTCAACGCCCCCTTGTTGGGGACGACCTCCTCGCCGACCCCCACGACCTCGTGGGACACCCCTACCTCGTGGGACAACCCTACCTCTTTGGGCACGCCTGCCACGTCGACCACGTTCAGGCTGCACTGTTGGCCCACGATGGTACTGCTCTGGAGCCATATAATCAGGATCGTTTCCTAAGTGCTCATCATCTCGGGCTTGCTGCAATGCCTGGGCAGCCAAATCTGTAACCTGCCGGCCATACTCGTGCAAAGCGGCTATGCTGCTGCATCTGTAGTCACAACTGGTAGAACAAATGTAGGCCAATAGCCTGCATAATATGTAAAATTATTACGGAACGGTAAGGTTAATGTTATAACTAAGTATACCAAATAACATACCAGCGCCTCATGCCTCCCGGCGTATGGAGCGAACCGACTGCCAACGCGATGAACGGGATTCCCGACTATAAGTCAGGTAATGCTGCGGTACCAACCGAAATACTCATGCTCACTATCCACACGCTCGGGTAGAGGGGGTTGTGGAATCAGGTCACACCGCTGGTCCCAAATCTCGATCTGCAACTCTGGCCATGCCTCATATGCCCTGTCAACCCTCGAACGATCATCCCACTGGTAATGTGTCCTAAGCCAAGCGAGCGGTGGAGGTACAAGCTGCGGTCGACCAAACTGGCGAAGGACTCGCTCGGTGGTATAATGCTCGACAATATCGAGACACATCAACGGGACGGAAGATCTCCATATAAGTCGCCCGATCGAGCAATAATCGACCAAATCAGCTATTAGCTCATCGCTCTATGGCCTCCAAACGAACTATTGCGTAAAAATAGGAACCATGAGTATACGCAACACATATAAATCCAGGCCAAGTAAACTTAAGTATAGAATTACCTGCGCGGCCTCCAGCAAATCCAACAAATCCCTGCAACAGGGGAGATTATGTCGAGCCTCGTACTCGCTTCCGTATCCTCGCCTATCAACCCACCTCCTAGCTAAAGGGAGAAACGATGGAGGTGGTGCATCCTAAGCTATGGGTGGTAGAGGTGGCTGCAACTGCAGGAACCGCTCCCAGGACCAAAACTAATATACAATTTGGACGTAAAATTTAAGGTATATTTTTATGATGTATGGTATAATGAAGAGATTATTTGACTATGTTTTCACCTGCAGCAGCGGCATAAATCCTACAACGTTCGCTGGGTGCCCATGCTCGCCCGGCACATCTGCATGTACAAGTAACCAAGAACAGCAGCACCCCAGCTGTAATCATGTAAATCATCTAGCCACTCAAGATGTTGAAGAAATCTCAAGATGACTAGGTTTCCTAAAGTGCTCGGGAACAATACCCCTCCAAACATAAGCAGCAGCAGCAACCTCGTGTACCAGATAATATGAGGATCTGGTGTATCATCCGTAATGTCAGCATGCATCGCCTCCAGATGCAGCCGGACGGGCGTCAACTGCAGACGACTAGCCCCAACCAATGCACCCTCATCCGCTGGCCGAAAATCGGTGAGCCGCTGCAATGTCTCCAGGTACTGATCTCCCGTATACTCTCTCATGGCATGCGACAAAGCAACAGAAAGTCCATCAACCGGCAACCCATACAGAATCTCCACATCCTGCAGCATGAGACTGGCCTCGCCAATGGGAAAATAGAATGTGTGCGTCTCTGGTCGCCACCGCTCTATCAAAGCCGTGATCAACGACCAATCTAGCTGCAGCCGGTCGATCTCAATAATTCTATAGAAGCCCATATCCTGCAGGCGTCTGACTATACGGGGATGGAGATGGCGGGTCTTAAGAAAGTCCCACATATCGTCTACTCTTCTAGCACGTAAAAGTCTGGGCCAATAACTGCCCCTCCCATATATGGGAAGACCTATGCTCGGCCTGTAGCAATAGTAGCTCTAGCGAGGCAGGTCCGGAATGCAAAGGCGGAACCTCCATGACGACTACTGTAAATAGAGCAAAATTAATTATATTATTTTTCTTTTTCATTGCTTAAATATATTGCAATACCTTTAATATTAATTTTTTTCGATATTTTTACTATATTGCTAATTAGGTTGATACATTTTCAATATTATAATTTTATATTTTATATGTTACTTTACCGGTGGGCTCCACTCGAGGTTTTTTTATTAAAAATTGGGCGGGGGGGGGGGGGGGGTGGGGTAAGGGGGAGGGGGGAGGGTGACGATTCTGTTGATTCTGTGGGGAAGACGACCTTCATATATGTATAACGTCTTTTATTAAGATGCTATACCTATAGCGTCTTAATAAAGCACGCTATACTTTCCCGCTTTATTTAATTCAAATATAGCGTCTTTTAAAAAGACGTTATACTTAACTGGCCAAACGGCCGTTAAAGTATAGCGTCTTTTTAAAAGACGTTATATATAAAATTGTCACCATATTTTTTTCTACACATTTCGGTTCTTTGAATCCAAAAAAACCACATTTTGATTCCGGACTCAGGATTTCATCAAGACTGTTCAAAGGTATGCCTACAGTACTATATATGGAAAATAAGTTGGAAATAGTAAACAAGAATGCATTTAAAATGGCAATTGGATAAGTTTAATTATTTGGCCATTTGCCCTGTACGTTTTAAAAAGCCTTAGTCAACAACCCATTAAAATTGTTAGCAGCCACTGTGATGATGTCATGATCAAAAGTGTACGATGAAATTTGAGTGTATAAATAAAGGATTTACCAAAACTGGTGAATCCAATAGAGACAGTGTGTGAATTTTTCCTCTAGTATAGAACTCGACAAGTATGGGTAGAACTTTAGCTGCTGCACTAACTTTGTTAGTGACTTTTCATGTCCTACAACATGTTATGGTTTCTGCTGCTACAAAAGGAAAGATAGTAACAGTTTTGAGCATAGATGGAGGTGGCATCAGAGGCATTATTCCTGGCACCCTTCTTGCTTCCCTTGAATCCATGCTTCAGGTATCCATTAACCATGTTATCTACATGCCTAGTTACCACTTCTATTCAGTGGCAGACTCAAAATTTAAATATCAAAGTTCTAAAAATATTTATATATTTATTAATTCTATCTATTCTTGTATATTGGTAGGACGGAGACATCCTTTATAGTGGTGTATATTTTTTTAAAACAATTATGAACGACTAAAACTAATACAAAACTTAATTTAACTTGGGACAGAAAGTAAAACCTTAAAACCATCATAATTTTGCAGTCAAATGCCGAATTGTAACAATTGCTTGTGTAAAATTTTGTACTTGCCACTGTATATAGGATTTCAATAACCTCATAACACTGGGTTTTATTGAATATGCCGATCCATTGTTAGATCCGCTACTAGTACTCCTTTGACTTCTCTATTCTAACTTCGGAAATTTGTAGCATGTAATGATCCTCAACTTGTCTTGCTATTTTAGGACATTGATGGACCGAATGCAAGAATTGCAGACTATTTTGATGTTGTAGCTGGAACGAGTACAGGTGGACTAATATGCACCATGCTCACAGCTCCCAACAAGGATAATCGCCCTTTATATGCAGCGAAAAATATTACCAATTTCTATATGGATCACGGCCCTAAAATCTTTCCTGAGAGCAGGTTAGAACAGTTGATATATAATATTCCAGTGTGTTATTTTTCAATTATGTTAGTTTGCTGGACATAGTATCAATGACAAATGTTCATATGTAAATGCAGCCGCAGCGGCTTTGTGAAGAGAATCACAAATTTATTTGGGGGCCCGAAGTATGACGGAAAATATCTGAGAACATTGGTTAAGTCAATATTAGGCAATCTTACTATGAAGCAAACATTGACTCAAACAATCATCCCAGCTTTTGATATCAAGCGCCTTCAACCTATTGTCTTCACAACTGCTGATGTACAGTCCTCTTCACCTATATAAATTTCACTATATTTCCTGCTTAATGTACATGAGAGCTGGTTTAGCCCTTGTTCATAGTAGATTTAAGTAATATATACGGATGTAAATATTGCTTTTAGTACAGTGTAGCAGATCATTACTCTATTTTCTAGTTAGCGTATAATATTTGCTATAAAAATGTTTTGTATTATTATATGTCAACTTAACATGATAGTGTAGAATATTAACTTATACATTGCAAGTATATATGCAAAACTTAAATTCATTCATATTTATATACGTTGTACAGGCCAAAGCTCACGTCTCTAGGAATGCTCTACTATCAGACATCTGCCTTGGTACCTCGGCAGCACCCACCTATTTCCCTCCATATTATTTTGAGACCAAGGATGCCCAAGGAAAAATACGTACATTTGATCTTATTGATGGAGGTGTAGCTGCAAATAATCCAGTGAGTAGCCATTAGACAAAGAAACAGAGTACTTATAAATTTCTTCGTCAAAATTCCCATATTTGATCAAACTTGTCTATAAATTTACTCGCAGACTCTAGTGGCAATTAGTCACATTTCGAAAGAAATCATGCTAGGGAAATCCCAATATGAGGGCATGGAACCAATGGACTGCAAGAAAATGTTGGTTCTGTCATTGGGCACTGGCATAGGCAAGGAGGAAAAGAAGTATAACGCAGCCGTGGCTTCCTCGTGGGGTGTACTTGGTTGGTTGTACAACAATGGTGCCAGTCCATTGCTAGACGTTTTTGGTGATGCAAGTGCTGATATTGTGGATATACATCTTTCCACCATGTTTCAGTCCCTTCAAAACGAAAAGAACTATCTTCGAATTCAGGTACCGAGAACTAGATTTCTCTAGGATTTGACCATTCAACTTGATATACATATTTCTCCCTTAATTTTGACTTTATACATAGTATTTTTTATTTATGAGGGTATCCAAGAGTTAATTTCCTGTATGGTCACTAACATTAAATTACAAAATTAATATTAAAATAACTTAATTTTACCAAGTATAACACTATATTAATTCAATTTACCTGCTATAATGATTAAACTTATGCATCAAGGTGATTTTAGTTTTATAGTAGGTAAAGTTTTGTGAAGTTACTGTTAAAACGAGTAAAGTTCATTTATTTAATGTAGCAAGCAATAGTTTTAGGACTTTACTATTATAACGAGTAATTTAGTTACTTTAATGTCACTAAAGATATAGTTTTGTAACTCCAATGTTATATTGGACCATTGCCCATACGTGAAATTAATCCAAAAAATAAAATAATACGTAATGGGCCTCTTATAGAGTCATATCAACTAAAATTACATTGTTTTTCATGACTTTTATATATTTGTACAGGATGATAGTTTGACCGGGGAGGCTGCATCTATGGATGTTTCAACCACAAAGAACATGAAAACACTAGTGCAAATTGGTAATGATCTATTAAAGAAGCCTGTGTCAAGAGTTAATTTAGACACAGGTCGCTATGAACAAGTTTCTGGGGAGGGCACCAATGAAGAAGCTCTTATTCGCTTTGCTAAGTTGCTTTCAGAGCAAAGAAAACTTCGACAACCAGTGGATGAGTTCACCTCGACTAGGAAAATACTCCAAGAATCTGTCAAACACCAATAAGGAAAAAGTCTTGCAAGTATTTCTTTTTTCTTTGAATTTCTCATAAGTTGTAGGCAATTTTATGTAAAATTGGAATCATTAATCTCCAAATAAGAAGAATGAAATTCTCCATGTTTCTCTAATTGTTGGTTGTGACAAGCCTCAACCGGTTGCTTCTTACGCAGCTGAAGCATCTCCTTCAGTACATGAAGAAATTTAGGGAACCAAATTACATACAAATAAAAAAAAAAAAAAAAAAACAGAATCTCGATCATGATTTCGAAGGCGAAACGATGGTGATATGACATCATTGGCAATTATTGTTTTTTTAAATGATGTCCATTCCTTAATACTATGAACGTTTAATAACTTGACACACGCACAAACACGTGTTAAGGTTCAAAATACGAAAAGAATTATGCATTTTCTCCTCTAACAAAGTTGCCTCTCCTAGTATTATGCCCTATCCGGAGATATTTAAGTCCAATTCCAATCACGATATTATGAGCCCGTTTGGATTAGCTGATTGTAAATAGCTGATAAGTTTGAAGTTCTGAAAAGTTTTTTTAAGTGCTGAAATAGATTTTGAAAATATGCATTTACGTGTTTGGATAGAAGTGCTGAAACTGATAATAAGCAGTTAATGTATTTGATTAAAAAGTGCTGATAAGCTATATTCTTTTGTTAAAATGACTAAAATGCCCTAAAAAAAATTCAAAAAATTATAAATTAAAAATTTCTTTGTAAAGAAAAGAATTAACAAAGAATATGGAATTGAGAGAAAGTCAAAAAAATTTATTTTGGGAAAAGTATTTTGTGAATTAGAAAATATTATTAAGGATAAACAAGTAAAAGTGTTGGTAAAACTAAAAGTGCTTATAAGCTGAAAAGCCATAAGTTGGGGGTGACCAGCTTATAACTTATGGCTGATTTTAGCTTATAAGCACTTTGGGTGTTTACCAAACGTGTTAATAAGCCAAAATGTGCTTATAAGCCAGTTTGACCAGCTTATATACTTAACCAAACACCCTCATAAAAGTTTACGTCAATTATCAAAAGTGAGATCTCTTTTAGTCCGGTCTTCTTTTCTCTTTTGAATTTGGTTGTTAAGAATTCATATATGAAAATGTAGTGTCTCGTTAACGAAAAATAGAATAGTTTTGCGAGACAACATACTGAAGGGTAATCTATATTATATTAAAAGGAGAGTAGTTTGCAATGTGGTTAAGCCAAGTGGCAAGCTAAAATGAAGCTACTTGGCAATTTTAAGACAACATAAAATATTTGGATTATAAATAGAAAAATATTTAATGAAAGTAGTAGTCCAAGATTTTCTGTAAATTGAATTTCATTCTTTAATATTATTTTAACATTTACACTAAAAATGTTCTCTTTTTGAGAATCTGTTAGACGTAAAAGAGGGATTCAACTTTCATTAAGCAAACAAATATATTATAGCTATAGGTATTTTTACTTAAATTTGTGTATAATTCAGTTAAGGTAGGTATCCTTTTTTGAGAAAGAATCAATTAAAATTTCTTTTTGTATCTTACACATTAATTATAAGTTGAAATAATAATTCTATATTTAGTACAAGCTTCGTATCTGACCTTTTTGCGAACAATATACATTAATATAGGTATCATATATATTATTATAGGTATCTTTAGTTAAATTTTGTGTATAATTCAGTTATGGTAGGTATTCTTTTTTTAAGAAAGAAATAATTAAATAAATTTTTTTTATTTATGAGTTTTGGTATCTTTAATTAAATATTATGTATAATTCAATTATGGTAGGTATCATTTTTTGAGAAAGAATAAATTAAAATTTCGTTTTGCATCTTACACATTTATTTTAAATTGAAATAATAATTCTATATTTAGTACAAGCTTTGTAGCTGACCTTATTTGCGGACAATATCCATTATTATAGGTATCTTTAATTAAATTTTGTGTATAATTCAGTTATGGGAGGTATTCTTTTTTAAGAAAGAACTAATTAAATAAATATTTTGTATCTTACATTTATATTATATTAAAGGAAATAGTATTAAAAAACGAAGAAGAGGACAAAGGAAAAAGACAAGAAAAATCTATATTATATTAAAAGGAGGGTAGTGAAGCGTGAGGTTAAGCCAAGTGGCATATTAAAGAAATGCCACTTGGCGCTTTAACAAAATTTAAATAAATCTTAGACAAATTTAATAAGAATTAAGACAACTTAAATAATAATTCTATATTTAGTACAAGCTTCGTATCTGACCTTATTTGTGAACAATATATATTAATATAGGTATCATATACATTATTATATGTATCTTTAATTAGATTTTGTTTATAATTCAGTTATGGTAGGTATTCTTTTTTAAGAAAGAAATAATAAAATAATTTTTTTTATTTATGAGTTTTGGTATCTTTAATTAAATATTGTGTATAATTCAATTATGGTAGGTATCATTTTTTGAGAAAGAATCAATTAAAATTTCGTTTTGTATCTTACACATTAATTTTAAGTTGAAATAATAATTCTATATTTAGTACAAGCTTTGTAACTGACCTTATTTGCGAATAATATCCACTATTATAGGTATCTTTAATTAAATTTTGTGTATAATTCAGTTATGGCAGGTATTTTTTTTAAGAAAAAAATAATTAAATAAACATTTGTATCTTACCTCTATATTATATTAAAGGAAGTGGGAAGAGAATCAGTTTGGTCCAAATATGAAGCCTAAAATTCAGCCATTACAACGCAAGTGGGAAGAGAATCTTTAGTTTAGTCCAAATATGAAGCCTAAAATTCAGCCATCAAAAGTACTATTGATAAATTTAAATAATTAAGAATTCAAGCAATATTTTTAAACTAAAATAGATATTTATTTTAAGATTAAAAAATTCCTAGATTTATCTATGTTATATTAAAGGATAGTAATGAATAATAATACTAAATAAAGTGGCACCAAAAATTAAAGTCTTACTAGATATAGAAATAAAATTTAAAAATATAAAATAAATATCTAATATAAGTAATTTTATTAACTAAAATTAAAAGTCAAATTTTGTGTCTTGAAACTAAAAGAGAGTTTTTTTGTTGCATATAATACAAAAAATAAATATAAGAAAACTTAATAGATTTGGAATATAATAATCAAAGAACTTATATATTAATATTTTATACTAATTAAAGTTACAACTTAAAGTTAAATATGATATTATTTTGATTACAGGTAAAATATTAATTAAAAATTTCATAGTAGGGAAGAGATTGTATAAAGAAAAAAATAAATATAAATGAGAATATTTATACTTTAAATTAATGACAAATAAAATAAAGTAAATAATTGAATATTAATCTATATTATATTAAAAGGAGAGTAGTTTGCAATGTGGTTAAGCCAAGTGACAAGCTAAAATGAAGCCACTTGGGAATTTTAAGACAACATAAAAAAATTTGGATTATAAATAGAAAAATATTTAATGAAAGTAGTAGTCCAAGATTTTCTGTAAATTGAATTTCATTCTTTAATTAATCAAAGCCAATTATTTTAACATTTACACTAAAAATGTTCTCTTTTTGAGAATCTATTAGACGTAAAAGAGGGATTCAACTTTCATTAAGCAAACAAATATATTATAGCTATAGGTATTTTTACTTAAATTTGTGTATAATTCAGTTATGGTAGGTATCCTTTTTTGAGAAAGAATCAATTAAAATTCGTTTTGTATCTTACACATTAATTTTAACTTGAAATAATAATTCTATATTTAGTAGAAGCTTTGTATCTGGCCTTATTTGCGAAAAATATACATTAATATAGGTATCATATATATTACTATAAGTATTTTTAATTAAATTTTGTGTATAATTTATTCTTTTTTAAACTAAAGTTTTTCTTTTTTGAGAATATGTTGGACGTACACAAAGAGGGATGCAATTTTTATCAAGCAAACAAATATATTATAGCTATAGGTATCTTTACTTAAATTTGTGTATAATTCAGTTATGGTAGGTAAGATCGGAAGAGCNATAAAGTAAATAATTGAATAATATTCAAAAATATTATTTATAGATTTAAATAGTAAAATAGTTTCAAGTAAGAGGATAAAAGCGTAAAATATATTAAATTTCAAGAACAAAAAAATAATATTTATCAATAATTATTAAAAGGATAATAAGCAAAATATTAAGTCAATTAGTAAGCCGATAAAATCATATGAAAGTATAATAATGTTAAGTAATAAATAATATAATAATTATAAGTAAAGAAAAAAAATTGTGTAAAATTTAAAAGAATAAGACTTATTAAAGCTTGAGATAAAAAATAAACTAATATTGAGAATTTTATTAAAATAATATAATTTAATATATTCAAACGAGACAAATCACCACATGACATAGTTAGTAATTTTTAATATTGATTACGAAACGAAATTCAAGTACTAAAATTAACCTATTAGATTATATAAATGTAGAAAAAGAAAACATGTTATCCACTATGAGATTTGCGAAATGGTTTCATGTCTTGCTTCTTAATTAATATCTAATGATTATCTATAAATTTTATATGGAAGGTTTATAATTTAAAGTTATTTATACATAATTCAAATAATCCAAATAAAAATCCGACATGATTTGTGTCCGCGCATCGCGCGGGTACTAATACTAGTTTTATTAATAGGCCAACACAATTTAGAGGTTGTTCTACAATATATGCAACTAACTCATTCAACCTCACGTCAGGTTGGCCCGGAGCACAAAATCAGGGCGGCTCAATAATTTTGGTGGCCTAAAGCCCAACTTTAACGGGGTTCTTATTTTTCTAAAAAATTCCTATATATTTATATTTAAAGTAGATTTTTCTAGCTTTTTGAGAATAAAATTTTTAAATTATTTTTCAACATAAACCATTTAATTTCTCATGTGACACTATTGATCTTAGGTAATAGAACCTGATTCAAGAAGTTGATAACTATTTATTAAAATAAACTTTTGATGTTTCAATAAACTTGAACCTGAATAAAAAAAAACAGAGTTTCAAAGTGTATTGCTCATTTTCTAATGATAAATGTAATCTTTTTTTATATATAAAATATTTTAACTTTTCTACTTTGATATACTTAATATTTTCTTAAAAAATTTG